TTGTTTGTGTTTTGGATACATTGTGCTGTGCCCGCTGCAGCCCTGTTGAAAATTTCAAGACTGGTTAGATTAGGCTGTTAGAGTGTGTGCATGCATTTGTGTGCGCACACTCACACCCTTTAGATTCGTTTCAGAAAACAACCCACTAAAGTTTGACCTTTTTCTGTTCCACAAACAAAGTTCCTCTAATGACATATAAATAATACTGAGTCCTGCTTAACCAAGCCTTCTGCTTTTCTGCTTTGTGGTAGAAACCTGCTGTGAAATGGAGTCCCATCAGTGAGGTATTGTTAATAAGAATAATGTCCTACCAGCATGCAGAGGTTTTTGTTTTTATTTTATGCATCAAGAATTTTTTGCTCTTAGAGAGGAACCTCCAAGCTGCCTGCAAATAACCGCTTTATGCAAACTGCAGATTGCATGTACAAGCAACATATTGTTTCTTTGAGGGAGATGGAAGGCGTTTTATAATAGAATATCTTATTATTCAGGCTTTGTTTTCAGAGGGGGAAGAGGACATACTGAGATTTTATACAAAAGCAGGGTGGACTCTTGATGCAGTAAGCTGTTTGCCACTCTATGGCCAATGCAAGACTTCTCAGCCATTCACCATTCCTCAGTCAGGACATGAAAATGAACATTTGTACTAAAATGGTCTAATAAGAATATTTTAGTTTTATACCAGAAGAGAAGAGAGATTTCCTCTCCAGCCTAGCCGAGGCAGTCTCAGCTTTCTCTTTTACCCTCTCCAAAGTTTATGACCACCACATTCTCTTCAAGTGCATCGTTCATATGGTGTTTCTGTCTAGTGTAACTGTTATTAAGGTGATTTCAAAGTGCAATTAAAGGAAACCACACAAGTCTTTATTTTTTTGTCGTTTGATTGTGCATTTTTTGTATATCCCCAAATCCTGAAATTGCATTAGGAAAATCAAACAATTTTAGATGCAAACTTAGAATAGGGTCCACTTGTTTTCATGTGCAACAGTACATGCTTTCTGCATGTTAGACATGTGGAGTAAAATGGTTTCCTTGTGGCTCTTTGTTGCAATAAAAAATAAATGTAGTCATTAATATTCATATACTGGTCCTGCTCTTACTCCCGCTGAAGTCAGTAAGTGTTTGTATATGTGTATAGTCAGACAGCCAAGTTTTAGAACATCAGGAAATCTTTAAGAGTTGGTATTGGCAGGAATGGGTTTGATTTGTTGCTGGTCATTTGGCACTAATTTGTGTTAGTTTTCATAAACATGTTCATATAATACATGATGGGTTCAGTATAAGTCATTTAATGATATAGTGAAGCCTGCAGATAGATTTCCTTATTAGCAAACTCATGTTTTAAGTGACCACCTTCAGTCTTTCTAAATGGACTGAGTACAATTCAGCACCACATGTCCACGTCTATTAAGCCACATATTTATTGTTACCTTGAGTGACTATTTGACAAGTTAATCTGGGGGGAACCCCCCACCCCCAAACCCTGAGTATAATAACCCCATTCTTAATGCAGGTGTTTGTTATGAAATTATTCTTGAGGAACAAAGGGCCCAGCTCTTCAACAGAAATAAGTATGATGGGGAACCTGGTGAGAACATGGTTGTCCCTTTGCATTGTTAAAAACATATGTCAATCTTGCAGATGTACATGGGACCCAACTGTGTTTTAATCCTGCCCCTGAATCACATTGCCCCAGGGTGTTGTATGCTGCTGGGACATGGCTGAAACACAGCTGGATTCTGTCTACTCCACAGGACCAAACTATATAGTAAACTCACTCCAAGGACCATCAGTACAGTAAGCAGGTCTTCCAACAAGGTTGTTCATACACTGTAGATGGACTGCATACACTTAGCATGCAGTCATTCAGTGCTAAGGGCGATGGAGAAATTTCTTGGGGGTCTTTGAGCACAGTAACTTCCAGCTCGTTGAAATGCTTACTACTCCAGTGTCCTCTATCGCTCTTTTATCGGCACAGTATATTAGGATCACTTGTTTGTTGGGATTTTGGCAGGGGAGGGTCTGGTAAAGGGGAGATGGAGAGATACTTGTTAACTGAATGTTTAATAGCTGAAATTAAGATGTGTAGAAACTGAGTACAGAGCGTGATGTGTGAATGGGCTGATAATATCAGATACTCTAGCAGCTTCTAGTATTTATTTTAAGTTACTCTATCAGCTGTTTTACTGAAGACCAGCTCTTGGAGCCAAAAGAGATTATGACCTTTCTTTTCAAGTTCAGAAGGAGGTAAACTTGGAAATGACTGTTTTTGTACTTGAGAAGAGGGAGTATTACCACATCCATATTGTCCTTTGTTGGTTGTGCGGTCTGAACTAAGGATCTATAAAGATCAGTCAAACAAACTCAATGGCGGTAACACACTGCCACACGCTAGTGACATTGGTTCAAGAGCAGCCTGGGGACTCTCTCTTTGCCTGGAGCTCTGATGTCACATGGTGGTGATCAGCTAGCTTTAAACTTTTAAAGGTTATTCTGTTATAAAGCCACCTTATGGGACCTGATTTTCCGTTGGCACTAGTTTTGGAGGAGGGTGCTTGCTCACAGAGAGCTGCAGTGAGACTGTTGGGGAGGAGTCAAGCCATAGGAATGGTGACCTCAGAACACACTCCAGACCATTCTTCCGGCTCGGGATAGCTACACCAAAAGTAACCCAGACATGTTCAAAAAGAAAAATACCAGAGTGATTGACCCTAATCTAATCCATGCTGCAGACCCCTCCCCCCCCCCCCCCGACTGAGCTTAGAGTTGGTTTTTGGCTGATGTTTTATCTCGTTTATTTATAAAGAGGTTTGTCAGTTTAGCCAGTTAGAAACGTTAGCACTGCTGACAGATTACAGTGGATGATTGTGTAAACTGCTTGTTGTATTAAATGTTCCTTTATTATGTCGTCCATGCTTCCTGGTAAAATGTGTTGTAAAAAGGCACAGGTCGTGGACTATGGTATTTATACTAATGTTCTTTCTTCTTGGGTAACAGGCAACAAACTCCCATGTCTATATGCCAACAGAACCTTACTTAGGGGAGAGAGCCCCTATGCTAATTAGCAACATATTCATCACTTTCCCACTCTGTCCCTCTAAAAATCTCTCATACTCTAATCCATTTCAGTGGAGTCAGGAGCTGGGACTGGGGAGAAGAAGCTGATGTTTTGCTTAGGGACTCATAGACTTTCCTTTCCATGTTATAAAGGTGATATTAATTCCTGTGTAGAGGACCAGCACAAGGTCTGGGCACTGCTAAAGTCCCATTTACACACTATGTGGGGCTCTTAACTGGAATTGTGTGATGCATAGGCCTTGTCCTGAGAATATCACTCCCAGTAAATAAATGGTTCTGAAGAGTGTACACAGACTGGAGAGGGAGAGGGAGTCAGCAGGATCCCCCTATAAAGGGAGAAGAGACAGTGGCATGTTGCTTACCTGTTCCACAGCCAGGATTAATTTTTGGGGAGGGAAGGAGAGTGGAATTCCCAGTTTCCCATTCCAAATAACCAGAGGGATATGAGACTAAATGAATGCAGTACTTCTCCTCTGAGCAGCCAGGAAGGACAAGGGAAGAGGGAGTGTGAAGAGCCCCCCTCTCCTCACCCCTGGAATTCTTTGATATGCTGAGGTGATCAAACTTTCCTTCAAGCACCATGGGAACTGATCTGGAGGACTCGGGGATGGGAAGTCACTGGGAGTAAAAAATTGTCTGAATTTGGAATTGTGGGAAGAAAAAAGTTGAGAACCTCTAATGTGGGGAAGGGCTGGGAGATGAATGTCTATGATCTTTGTAAAAATAAAATACTTAAATTGATAAAATCTTCAGTATTTTGTTTTCCATTGTTTTACTATCAAGGATGCAAATTCCAGGAACAGGTTCTCTGGAATTGTGACCTCTTCACTTCCCCCACTCCCTGTTCTTTTTGCTTTAGCCAAAGAGGGCTGCTTTTTTAGCCTGGCACTTAAACAGTAGAAGTAGCATTTGGTGTAGCATGGGGTAGAATTGTAGCTAGTTGCATTGATGGAATATAAATGTATCAATCTGAGTTAAAATACTTGTTAACGAGTTAGTTTTTCATGTAAAAGGCTAATTTGGCTGCTTTTGTGGACTTGTTTTGTTAAGTGAATATTGCTATTCTATTGTTTTAATTTGTTCTTTATTACTTATATTATGGTTGCACCTAGTATAGGTGCTATACAAACTTTTTTTAATATAATTTTGTTTATCTCTGAGTATCTGAATCAGTTCAATGTCATATAAAGTGCTAACAATCTTTCTTTTATTAAAGTTTATATATTTTTTACTATTTAAGACCAACTTCCAATATATCTCTGTCTAGTATATTAGAGCAGAGTGCTGATTAGATAAAACTTTTTAAACGAGTCATTTGTCTAAAAACATAAAAGAAAACAGCTCATGTTTGGAATGGCAGTATTTATACTGTAAATAATTTTCTAGAAACAAAGATTTTCAGAAATGATTTTTTTTTACTCAATTTTTGGGTGCCCAACTTGAGACTAGCTTACAGGAGCCTGATTTTCAGAGGGCAAATGCTTAGCTCTTTTTGAAAATGACGCTACTTTAAAGTCTCTCACTTACTTTGGGCACCCGAAAATGGAAGCACCCAAAATCCCTAGTCACATTTGAAAATGTTGTCCAGTCTCTTTATTTTTAGTGATTAACGTAGCAGCCTAACCTTTATAGTAAAACCCCTCAAACGGCAAACTAAACAGCAGTGCACCAGTGCGTGGGATTATGCACCTCATATTCAGGATCAGGTTTCTTTATTTGTTTCAAACCCTCTTCTCCAATTTGTCTGACCTCTGAGGCATAAGGAGAAAACCAAGGACTTTTCCCATTCAGAATTTCTAAAATCTGTGAGATACAAGGGAGAAAACTACTGTTGCAAAGTTCATAACATGGTTGTGTGAAAGATAAATTTGTGTAAGTGGCTTATATGGTTTTTATTTTTTTCTTTCTTTTCTTCCTTCAAGCTACAAGAGACAGTAAAGAGGAAACTGGAAGGAGCGCGTTCACCCCTCAATGGAGAGCAGCAGAATGGTGTCTGTGATGGTAGTTTCTCTCCAACCAGCAAGCGGATACGGAAGGATGTACCAGGAATCGATACAATCAATAGCTTGCCCAATAACTTGCCTTTGCCTTCTGTTTCTCCTCTTCACCAGCTTGACATGAAGCCTTCCTTACCCCTGCAGAAGAGTGGAACTCATGCTAGTGGGCTGGAAGACTTGGGTAAAAATGGTGGACTTCCAGAGATAAAGCTCCCCGTTAATGGTTGCAGTGAGCTTGAGGACAGTTTTAACATCCTGCAAAACAAGGAGCTAAAACAAGAACCTTTGGATGACCCCACCTGCATAGACACTTCTGAAACATCCCTTTCGAATCAAAACAAATTATTCTCAGACATTAATCTGAATGATCAAGAGTGGCAGGAGTTAATAGATGAGCTAGCCAACACTGTACCAGAAGATGACATACAAGATTTGTTCAATGAAGACTTTGAAGAGAAGAAGGAACCAGAATTTCCCAGGCCTGCCGCTGAGACTCAAGAAAGTGCAAGCGTTAAGAGCGATCCATCTCATTCTCCATTTGCTCACGTACCAATGGGGTCTCCCCAGGTGAGGCCTTCTTCTTCAGGCCCTCCATTTTCAAATGTCTCCACAGCTTCTAGTATAACTTCTGTATCCAGTGCTCCACCAGCTCCAATCTCTGCCAGCTCACCAGCAAATTGTGTTGTTCAATCACCTCAAACTCCCAATCAAGCCCATACTCCAGGTCAAACTCAGTCACGACCTGGAAATGGTTATCTTATTAATCCAGGAGCAGTGACTGTTGCAGGTTCAGGGCCTGGGCCTGTGGCTATATCCAGTGCTGACTTGTCTCCGGCTGAACAGCTCAAGCAAATGGCAGCACAGCAACAACAAAGAGCTAAACTCATGCAGCAAAAGCAGCAGCAGCATCCAAATCAAGCATCAAGCTGGTCACCTGTGGGACCTCCATCTAGTCCGTATGGAGGACCCTTCAGTTCAGACAAACCAAATAGTCCAATGATGTATCCCCAAGCCTTTAACAACCAAAATCCTATAGTGCCTCCTATGGCAAGTAATCCACAGAAGACCACAATTAATAACTACCTCCCTCAAAATCACATGAATATGATCAATCAACAGACAAATAATTTGGGTACAAACTCTTTAAGCAAGCAGCCCAACATGCTTACTTATGGCAACACTAAACCTCTGACTCATTTTAATGCTGAATTGAGTCAGAGAATGACCCCACCAATGGCCAATCCCAGCAAGAACCCCATGATGCCATACATACAGCAGCAACAGTCCCAGCAGCCACAGATGCAAGCTCAGCTGACACACCTGAGTGAGGAACAGAAACGAATGCTTATTATGAAGCAGAAAGGAATGATGAATCAACCAATGGCATATGCAACACTTCCCTCCCTTGGCCAGGTAAGCATGAATACAGGACACACTTTGAATAATGCATGTGTGCCGTTTGTAGACAAGCAAGGAGAGAATAGCACAAAGCTTCAGCGTTCACAGCTCCTCATATGTCTCTGTATGTTCTCTTTCTTTAAGTGGAGGGGTTTCTTTGCAGCAGCTTCTTGTTTTCAGTGTGACATCCAATGAATGCTTTTATTGTGAGCAGACATACTCTGTCTGTGTATCTGCTGATTAGGGCTTGGCAGGGAGGGTATGGAGAAGATTGGTTTTGAAGTCTCATCTCTGAGAGTTTGTCGCACCCTTTGTCTAATAGGGCACTTTGTACCTTTGCATCTGGTACCGTTGTATTGTTTAATTTTTAAAATGTTAACATCCTAAGAGGAGGTTTAGCAGTGTCACTTTTCCCTCAGTGGTGGGGAAGTGAAGGGAGGCTCAAGCCATCTTGAAGCAGAGTATTTAGAAAGGATGTGGCCAAGTTGCATGAATTGGCAATGGAAGAGCCTTCAAGAGGCTGAATGCCCTGAACTCCTACTCGAGGGAGTAAATAGCAATTGAGGTATTCAGCACCTCAGGGGATCATGCCCAAACTGAGATAATTTATGACATGATTTCGAAGTGGTTCTCAATTACCCCTTTTTAATGTATTTTCGTTTTCCAGATGAATAAAGTCTTCTCCAGTGGCTTGCCCAGTGATTTAGCTCTTAGAGATAAGCTTTACCTCCTTGGCTTGACTGACTTTCCATTACCTTCTCACTTTAAATCCCTGTGGGGCTGGTGTTCTGAGGTGTTGGGGATACACAAGCAGATGGATCTAAAATAATTGAGTTAAATAACATTATGGGTCAGCCCTTCATTGGGAGCCCTTCATTCATACTGAGAACCCTTTAGTAAAACTACTGGTGTGCATAAATATTCACCGGTGTGACTATTTGAGTGTTGTTTGTGTTTGAATGTTGTTTGGTTAATTTTAAAAAGAACTACAAAAATAATCAACTGTTTTATAACCAGTCCAGGCCTACAGTTAATGTGATACATGTCATGGAAGGTATGCCACCAAAGAGTGTCAGGAATTGTGATGTAATGATATGCTAATAGAATTGTCTATTGTTAGTTTTAGTCCAAACAGCTTTTACTAAATTAGCTGTTTCCACAACCACCTACAATAAGTGCTTCCTTTTGAGCACAGTTTGGGATAATTAATTGTTACTCACATTGCTAATACACATGTGAATACAGCGGGGTTTTACATTTCCTTAACCCGTTGAGTTTTGAAATCTACCAATAGGGGGAGCATATCTTTTCCACCATAGAGCCCTTCACATGTTGTTTAAAGTGAACTGCAAAGCTAAAAGAAATGTGCTAGTGCCTTCCATGTTGTCATATGCATCATGCATGAAGATAGTTGAAAGGTTTGTTCTTCTGCTTGTCTTTTGCTTTAGAAATTACAAGTCCAATTTCTCTGTTTTTGGTGAAGGCCTATCTAAAGAAATAGTGGGATAATGACATCAAAACAGACTGAAATCTGAGCTACAGCTTTTCCAGCCTTTCACTGAGAGGGAAAGGGATGTTTAGGCCAGACTGTCTAATACTTTGTGATTTCTTTTCTTTGTTGGTTTGGTTTTAAACCTGTTTGAGTTAAACACCTATCAAACAGTTAGGAGAAAAGCTGCCACTGTGAAAGATTTAACGTCCCTTCACTTGAAGGCTGAGAAATCTGTAGTGCAGATTTTACCTTTACAAATTCACTGTCTCATTACAGTTCTCCAACAAGAGCAGGGAAGTCAAGATTTCATATTCCTGTTGTTATGGTTTTAAAAAAATTCAGAAAACCCTGTTTAACAAACAAAGCACTGAAGGCATCTTTGTAGTTTAGAAGAAAGCAACATAGGGGGGAACCAACATTTTTTTAAAAAACATTTGCGTTTCACCTTTAAATGACCTGACCAGAAATACGGACTTATTGCTTCCATATTGAAAGGTCCCTCCAGTCCCGAGGGCGACTTAAGGTGCATGTATAGAAAAGGTTCAAAGAGGTGATAAAGGTAAAATAATAGATTTTCAGCTGAAAGGTATTTCCCTACTCCTTTCTTTACTGCTTCCCTGAAGATTACTTTTCTATGGAAAACTGGAAAGCTGTTGTTATTCTGAGGTCTGCTCATTCAGGAATGGATTGTTTCACACAATGATGGGAAAAGATCTGTTGATAATATTGAGCCAAATCCAGAGATAGATGTTGAGATACTGCTACAGACTCCAGGATACAGAGAGAGACAAAGGTGCTAGAATCTCAGCTCAGATCCAGATTATAGGTAAACATAACGAAAAACTTTTATGTTGCTGTTTGAAACAAATTTAAAAATGTCAATAAGTGTGTGTCCATATCTTTCTGTGAGTTTATAATTGTTACTCTCCGACTGTAATTTTTTTTACCTCTGACATGTATTCATATGTTCTATAGATATATATTTTGGAGTGTGTGTATCAGGATTATTTAAAAACGAAGTGGGTATACAGAACAAGAGATACTGCTATACTAATTGGGTCACATGGTTGGCACTGAACATATATGAATATCACATGACTGGTACACAGTGTATAATTTTTGCCAGGGCTGAGCCCCAGCACCTCTAAGCCAGGCAGTTCATAGGCCTGATACTTCTGGTCTTGGCATGTCAGTTATGAAAGTAAAAAAAAAAAATGACTTGAACCATAACATCTCTTTCATTACAAATTAAGCACTGCTGATACAGAAGTTTATTCAACAGATTATGTACATACAAAAATCTTGAGTGTTATTTCTGTATTGCCATAAAATTAGAGTATATAGATAGGCTTATAGATGTATACCTTAAATCCATACACATCTGCATCTATATTATTCTGTTTATAATAAATAGAACATCTACACATATTTACCACTTGCATCATTCACTGTTCATGACATATACACCATTTTATCAACAAAGTTGGGGCTATATAAACATTCTATGGAGAGGACACAAGCATATCTGACCTTACCTTCGTATTAACACGTCAGTGACTGGCTGGTACTCTGGCCTAGGCTTTGATGAGCCTTACTAATTATGTTTAGAAGAAAAGGTGTGCAGCTAGAGAGGAACCCATTTAGCTCAACATGAACGTGAGTAATTGGACAACTGGCAGTGTGTTAAATTGGTGGTAGTGAGAGAAACTTGCATATAACAAACATTCTTGGCTGCACAAAGGTAGTAGAATTTCTTTTAATGAGCTGCTCCATTTCTGCATTTACCACCTGTGATGATTTGGGGAATATGTTTCTGTATAGCTTAGGAATTCTGTTTTTGTTATGAAATTGTACTATGGAATGCCTCTAGGTCAGAGGTGGGCAAACTACGGCCCGCGGGCCACGTCCAGCCCACGGGACCGTCCTGCCCGTCCCCCAAGCTCCTGGCCCGGGAGGCTAGCCCCAGCCCCTCCCCCGCTATTTCCCCCTCCCGCAGCCTCAGCTTGCTCGCTTCGCCGCCGGCGCAATGCTCTGGGCGGTGGGGCTGTGAGCTCCTGGGGCAGCGCAGCTGCAGAGCCCAGCTTGACCCGCTCTCTGTGCTGCGTGGTGGCAGTGGCAGCATGGCCCGGCTCTAGCCGGGTGGCGCGGCTGTAGTGCCGCCAGCCACCGGTGCGCCAAACAGCGCAGTAAGGGGGCATGGAGCCGGGGGGTTGGATAGAGGGCAGGGGAGTTCGGGGTGGTGGTCAGGGGGTAGGGGTGTGGATAGGGGTTGGGGTGGTCGGGGCGGGAAACAGGGGGTTGAATGGGGGCAAGGGTCCCGGGGAGGCAGTCAGGAAGGAGGGGGGGTTGGATGGGGTGGCAAGGGGCAGGCAGGGGCAAGGGTTCCAGGGGCAGTCAGGGGACAGGGAGAAGGGGTGGTTGGATGGGGCAGAGGTCCCAGGGGGGCCGTCAGGGAATCGGGGGTGGGGGAGTTGGATGGGGCAGGAGTCCCTGGGAGGGGGGCAGATAGGAGTGGGGGCTGGGCCATGACCCCCTCCCCTAACCAGCCCGCCATACAATTTACGAAACCCGATGCAGCCTTCAGGCCAAAAAGTTTGCCCACCCCTGCTCTAGGTGGTTGTGGAATCCAACCTTTGCTGACAGGGGCTGTAACAAATACAGAGACAATGGAGAATTTTTAACCTTAGCTACTGGGCTCTTACTGAACAATGGGTATGCTAAAGAGTTTGAACAAGTTTCTCTGCTGGGGGCTGATAACTGGACAGTGGAAAATCACCAGCAGAACAACAACAAAAAAACCCAGGTGTTGGTAGGGAGACATATAACTCAAGGGAATCTCATAAAGCCACGCAGAAAGCTTTGGGCAGGAGAGAGAGGGACATGCTTTTGTAGCAGTGGTATACTGTTTAACTATGGGACCAGCCAAGGTCAGAGAAAGCTAGCTGACCTAGAGTGGTTCAGTGATCTTGAAGAAAAGCAATGATCTGCAGGGGAAGGATCCTGGACACTCCAGAAGACTCTGCCCAGTCCTAGAGAATGCTCCAGAGTGATGAGGAACATGGGACAGGGAAAACGCATTTTTGTGTTTTATTATTCTATCTAGATCTGTGTATTTCTTGGGCTACTAAGTACATAGTAATAATGTTTTAGAATCTTGTTCAAAGTCTGTCTGTTTGCTTTCATTGTCATATGCCCCTGAAGAGTAAAACATGGGCACTCTGGGTTCACAAAGTCTGGATGTCCAATTACTCACGTTCATGTTGAGCTAAATGGGTTCCTCTCTAGCTGCACACCTTTTCTTCTAAACATAATTAGTAAGGCTCATCAAAGCCTAGGAAACAAGGCCAGAGTACCAGCCAGTCACTGACGTGTTAATAGGAAGGTAAGGTCAGATATGCTTGTGTCCTCTCCATAGAATGTTTATATAGCCCCAACTTTGTTGATAAAATGGTGTATATGTCATGAACAGTGAATGTTTCAAGTGGTAAATATATGTAGCTAGGGGGAAATCTGAGAGGTTATC